TCACATTTATTGGTTTCAATAGTTTTTTCCCCTCAGTTCTTCGATTCATTCTGTTTTGTTGTTATGTCATGTTTATTTTACTGTGAGTGACTAATAAAACATTACTGCTGGATATTCGGAGAAACACGTTGGCAGTAATTTTCTGCTCCATCCTGGACAATATTTGCTGTCGGCCAGCTTTGCGATGAAAGCAGGACTGAATAAGCTGCAAAAGATGGGACGGAGTTCTTTGTGTTCACGAACTGATGGCAGAGAACTAATAAGAGGATGAAAAGCGCTAACAAGAAAGTAACATACAACATCCGGGGGCATCATGCTGCTGATGTCTTCGGAATGCGGCAATCAGTGGATAATTGCGATCAGTTCTCAAGCATCTGCAAATCATCGAATGAACTGAAACTTTCTACCACTCTTTCAATATCTATGGAGGTGCTGAACTTCGCTCCGTAACTAGTAATCACTGAAAATAAATCCCGAGCCAGAAAAGAAAGACAGAGATGCAAGCTAAATTCTGATTTATGGCTCGATTGAAACTGGAAAACCAATTTCATAAATGTCAGATTCCCAGCCTCCGTGATTCTTCTGCTTAAGTAACTTCACACACACATACACATACACGCACGCACACACATATACATACACACACATAAACAAACAAACAGAAAACGAAGCAAACAAATAAACGCACTCATGCGGTCTTGCCATAAACCGATTTTGCCTTCATTATGCAAAAACACGTAAAAATTTGAAATTTGCTATTAACAATAACAGCACACAGTAAAAATCTGGTCCAAAAGCGACGCGTTTTTTGGACAGGAGCTCTCGATGCCTGAGTATTATCGTGCACACTACGAAGCATTTTTATTTCACTTTTCCTCTCTGTTCTTCTGTGTTACTATATTTACTCGTCCCGAAAGCAAATTGGCACTTTTAAGCGTTGCAAAGCCTTAAGCCACATAAAGTCGTAGATGAGAAACACATGCAAATTGGAGGATGCAAAAAAAAAAAAAAAAATGCAAAAATAAGAAAATTGCGTAGCTGAAGTTATCATACCTCGTTTTGTTTTTCGCTCATTTCAAAAATTAGAGGATTATGGATGAGGCAACCTCTTACAAGTTCTTTAGCTCTTCCTCTTCCCCCTCCTCCCGTCCCCCTATCATGGACGATGCTGCCGATCAAAAAAAGCACGGTTTAAAATAGTGTTTTTTCGCCAATCTGGAAAAAGACCATTTGCTCGAAACAATACTTATTTTTCACATCAATTCACTTTTTGACGCAATGTCGAAAAGCCAGCAAGATACTCCAGGAGTTCCTAACTGTCTTTTTTGCTAAATTTTGAGTAAGTAAGTCTGCAGAATAAGGAACGCAAAAATTCCGATGCTAACAAGAGTGCTTTCAAATGTTCATTTTCCACCTGTTCTTCCAGCCTTAAACCATATGGAATTCAGCTGTGCTGAACATTCTTCGGTTTGTACAGTCGGCCTACCTATGGCCACAAATTATCACCGCACATCTACCACAACCCCGACATTCTTGCTTGGAATGACTAATTTTGGCTGGGCTTCATAATTTAGCTGCATAAGCTATTTCCCACCCCTTCCATTCAGTATTTCACATAGACACATATAATTTTTGGTCATTCCCTCATCAACAATTTCACTTAATTAGATCCTAGCAAGCTTCATTTCATTCCATGGCCTTTTTTTTTCCAATTTCTTCTCTCATATTAAAGAAAGGCATACTTGCAAAAGCGGCAGCTCGCGCAGCGCAACATTACTGTACCGTCATCGCCATCATCATCATCAGCAGCAGCAGCAGCACCACTGTGCGCTTGTCGCACCAATTCACTTTATTATTACCTGAAGAGAATTTAAACAACCAGTCAATTCGAAAACAAAATGCACTTTGAAGTGACCGAATCGGCAATATGGCGACATAAGGATGCAAAAAAAAGTGTGGTCAGTAGCGAAAGCGAGCGAGCAAACGCTGCTGGATCTGCCGAAGCGAGCGA